AGGTCAGGTCAATCTTCATACCTGACCTGAATTTTTTTTAAAAAACTCATACCTGACCTGAATTTCAGGTCAGGTCAGGTCAGGTTACCTGAATTTGGCTGACCTGTTCGGAGCTCTAGTTTTTAAACTCTTTATGAATTTGGCAAATGGTACATTATTACTCTTTCCAGTTTCAGTATAAACTGGATCACGCAACTTTCCAGCCTTAATAGTGTCTTGAATCCAGGTAAGTAATTCTCTAGCATGTTCTGGATCTTTTTCCATAGAGAGTAAGCGACTAGGCATCGGTTTATCTCTCTGTTTACGACATCCAGTGCAATACCAAGAATAACCAGCTTTATACCATGCTGGCGGATCTTCAGAATCTGGTTTGTAATTAATAATCTGGAGAGATGATACTTCAGCAGGCCTCATGCTTAGCATTACTATCACATCCGCGAGATCCTGCATAGAGGGAATTTTAGAAGTATCGATATTCTGGAGTCTCCTATGCACTTTCTCAAAGGTGAAATGTTCTGGAGTTCTATCTGGATTAGCCAAGCGCTTCTCAGTCCGCTCTTGCTGGATTTTGTTGGAAGCTGTAGTGGTTTTCGAATCTTTGGCATAGCGATCAATAAGTTCACGATCGGCCTCGTACTCTGCTAAATACTTACAAAATCGTGATTGGTTTGAGCTAGAAGCAACCATTTCCTTATCATCAATTACTCCATCCTTATTTCCTTTTGGTCCCAAAGATAAAGTATTAATGAAAATATCCCACTTATCTTCGCTTTTAGCGACTTCTTGGGCCTTTTTCCTGACAGAATATATCTTATTTCTCTGATATGGCACGAGAGCCTCTATCTGCTCTTTGCACTTCTTTTTTCAGTACCTCTTGTAAGGGCTTCCTTAACGCACTTACGGGCCTTCCAATCTGGAAGTGAAGCATTAAGTTCAGAAGCATGTTCGCTTAATTATTCTAGAGTGGAGTCGGCCATCAAATTATGCTTTTCTAAGAACTGCTTTAAGACCAATACAAAGTTATTAGCTTTAGGTTTTCGGGTCTTTGGAGTAGCCATTTTGGTAGCCATGTCGATATAAGTAGACTTCAGTTGTTTCTTCTATTTATATTATGTGAGAAAAAATTCAATTCGAAAAAATCCCTCAATCATAGATTTCGGGATACCATATAGTAGAGGGTTAAAGGAAGAAAAAAAATAATAATATAGCTTATACTCTAGACCGCCATAACACATTTTTGAATATCTATAATAAAAGTGAAGATGAAGTTTTGAGATTATTAATATCAAAATTACCTTGTATGGATCGTCTAACCTGCCAATACATTAAGAAAGATGGTTCAAAATTACCTCGTATAGGTCGTTTTATCTGCCAATACATCAAGAGAGATGGTTCGAGTTGTGGGAAAGAGTGCTGGCGTAGGACCCCAGATATCTCCAAAACAGGTCATAAGTCACACTTTTGGCAGATTGGCCCATTTTTCAGGGGCTCAAAAAATCGTTTTTTGTAAATATCTCGGCATCCAGTGGTCCAATTTTGATGAACTTTTTTTTAAATTGTAGAGCTAAATGAGGGCTACAAAATAAAAAAAAGTTCATTAAAATTGAATTACTGGATGCTGAGATATTTACAAAAAACGATTTTTTGAGTTTCAGCAAAAAGAGGTGTTTTTGGCCAAAAGTCCATTATTACCTTTATATTAGATATCCGGGGTCCTGCTGGCGTCCTGAAGGATGTTCCAGATATTTTAATGCCCTTCCTAGAACAATATGTCCTGTCTGTAAGCAGGGAACCTATTCCGATACTGAAATCTGTAGCACGCATGGTGGAATTTATGACCATACCTGGCGTGAAAGTAAAAAAACTAAAACCGAATCAATCCCTTTGGGATCATCTAATATGGTCAAGACTTAACTGAATAACGATCTGAATTGAAGTATTATTTGTTTTGCCATATAGAATCAAAGAGTTCCTGAATATTGTTATCTGCTTTTGGCTTATATGGTGGAAGTTCTGGTGCACCTTTATCTCCAAAACCAAGACCATCATATGGCTGACGATTAATTTTGTATGAATATTCCCAAACTCGCTGTTCCTTAGGACCTATTTTTTCTGACTACTTTTAACTGTATAGACACACACTGGTCAGAATAGTCCATTTCGTCCAAATTTCAAATTGACGAATATTGGACGAAAGTTGGTCTAAATTCGGCCGATCATTGCCAAAAAAATTGTCAAAATTATTATGGACGATTTGCACAGTTCGCCTGCCACTTGGCTAAGGTTGTTTGTCTAAACCTCCTCAAAATTCTACGATTAGTTTCGTCAAAATTTTACTATAGATTTATTATAGTTTCGGCAGAATTTCGGCAGTTTCGGCATTTATAATAAGTTTCAGCAGTTTCGCCTTTCTCCAAAGTTTCGCCAGTTTTTTAATATAACTTTAATATAGTTTCGGCAGAATTTCACTTTTTGGCGAAACGCCATCTTGTCTAAACCCCTAGATTTCGGCAAGTAACCTTACACTTGGCAATCACAAATCGGCAAAAATTCATTAAAAAATCGGAAATAAACTATTCGTCAACCTTTTACTAGACATTCGTCCAAATTCAAATTGCCGAATGTTGGTGAAATTGAATCTAATTTTGTCTTATTGTTAACGATTTTTATGTATTTAGCTTATTTTAATTTTGCAATAACAATCAATAAATTATATTTTATTTTTTCACTTTATTAAAATTACACATTAAAAATTATCATATTAAATATCAAATATCTACAGTATCTGTCTATTTACACCTACCATCCACCATCCACCATTTACCATTTATCATTTACCATTCACTATCCATTGTCAACCATTGTCAACCATTGTCAATCATCGTTCACATCCATCGTTTACTACCCATCATCCACCATCCATCATCCACCATCGTCTACCATCATCCACTTATCCAAAATTATCTACATTCATCCAAAGCCCAAGAACTGAAAGCCGAATTCTACAAAATAGAAAAATAAATTAAAATAAAAATTAAAAAAAATATTTTTTTTAAAAGTTTTGAAGTTTTACTTCAAAACTCACCCGTACATCCAAAGCCCAAGAACCTAAAGCCGAATTCTACAAAATAGAAAAATAAATTAAAATAAAAAAAATTTTAAAAAAAATAATTTATTTTAAAAAAGTTTTGAAGTTTTACTTCGAAACTTACCCATATATCCAAACCCAAGAACTGAAAGCCGAATTCTACAAAATAGAAAAATAAATTAAAATAAAAATTAAAAAAAATATTTTTTTTTAATAAAGTTTTGAAGTTTTACTTCGAAACTCACCTGTACATCCAAAGCCCATGAACCGAAAGCCGAAATCTACAAAATAAAAAAATAAATTAAAAAAAATTTTTAAAAAAAATAATTTATTTTAAAGAGTTTCGATTCCTTCGCTTCGAAACTCAACTCACCTATATATTCAACGCAAAGCCGAAACCTACAAAATAGAAGAAAAAAAAAATCAAATAAAATATAATAAAAGCTTTGATACAGCTCGTTTGAGCTGGCTCACGAGCTATGAGCTGGCTCGTGAGCTCCAGAACTTTTTTTCTTTATTATTGCCGGCATTACGTGATTTTTAATTTTGGTCAGAATTAAGTGATCGACATGGAAATTTCCTTTTTTAAAATCCTGTGTAATGCATTTCTCCATTTTTGATAAGAAATAAAATTGCCTTTTTTTGGATTGTGTAATGTTACTCAAGTATTCAAAAAGGAAATTTCCATGTCAATTACTTAATTCTGGCTAAAATTAAAAAAAATCATGAAAAATATGCAGAATTTGATAAAAGCTCAGTTCGAGCCAAGCCACCTTAAAATTCAGCTTGGCTCAGCTCGAGGTTGGCTCAACACGAGCCAAGCTCAAAAATTCTAATTGAACTGAGCCAGCTCGAATTTTGGCTCAGTTCGGCTCGAGCCAGCTTGTACAGAGCTTTAATCCTGACGTCTGAAACCTACAAAAAGAAAAAGAAACTTAGAAACATTTCCTTACAAAAAAAATTTAAAAAATATTCTTTCAGTTCCTTACTTTCTGAAGTCGAATACTGAAAACCTACACAAAAGAAAATAAAGGATCGTTAAAAATGTTCTTTATAAAAGTAAAAAAAAAAATTTAAAGTTTTGAAGCGAAACGCTTTAAAACTTACCATCATTTCATTTCCTCGTTTTATTAAAAGCATTAAAAATCCTACAAAAAAGAAGAAAGAAAGCGTTAGAAACATTTTCTAAAATAAATTAAAAAAAAATCAATAAGTTTCGCTTTAAAACTTACTGATTCCACTTCTAAAATCGAATACCGAAAGATCTATATAAAAAAATAGGAAACGTTAGAAATGTTTTTTTACAAAAAAGAATTAAAAAAAGATTTTTTAAAAAGTTTCATAATAAAACAAAACTTACCCAATATTCTGAACACTCTGATCCTACAAAAAGGATAAAGGAAACGTTTTCTAAACGTTTTCTAATAAAAAATTAAAAAAAAAATTGAGTTTCGAAGTGAAAGTGTTTCACTTCGAAACTTATCATATCGAAGTAAATACTTCAAAACTTTATAGTTTACCGAACTTAAAGATAAACTATACTCCTCTTTAAAGGTTTTTCTTCATCTCGCCTACTAAACATAAGAATTCCACGTATCGACCTAAGAATGAATAAATCATATCTTGGAACCCTTCTCAACAATGCGAATTTTACGGCAAAACTCATTTTTCGAAATCGAATATGTTAAATATCTACAAAAAACAAGTATAGGAGTCAGTTTTTAAAAGAAATTAAAAACACAATTTTTAAAAAGTTTCAAAGCGTTTTATTTCAAAACTTACCATTATTTTTCTGAAAAACAATACCAGAAAGGGAAAAGAGAAGGGGGAAGAGGAGAATGAAAGAAAAAGGGAAAAAATGAAATGAAAAGGAAGAACAAAGGAGAAAAGGAAAGGGAACAAAATGGGAAGAAAGAATGAAAGAGAAAAGGGGAAATAAAATGGGAAGGAGAAAATGAAAGAGAAAAAGGAAAGGGAACAAAATGGGAATAGAAAAGGGCAAAAGAAATTGAAAAATCGTGAGAAAAAATTAAGCTTTTACTAAAAAAAGCTTAATTTTTTTCACTATACTGCAGCAGGCGCAGCTTTAGCTGCGCTTGCTATGGTAATTATTAGTAATATTACGTAATACACATAATATATATTTTTATATAAATAGGGGTATTTTCCCCAAAAAAATTTTTTTTTTTATTATAATTTTTTTGATAGATGTATATATATACTTATATATATATATATATATATATCTATCTAATAACTTTACGAAAAGCTCCTCCTCTGTAAACAGGTAGAAGCCATAAAGTACCTATAGGGAGAGAGCCATTTTTTCTCCCTCTGCCTGTTTATAGTGACAAAAAGAGGGAGTCTTCAGTAGTAAGATTTCGTATAAATTAAACAACACATCGTGTTGATACATTGTTAATATTAACAATGTGAATTTAATGTTAAATAATGCGTTAGAATATAAATATTATAAATTTAATAATGTCCATAATTTTACAAATAAATAAAAATTATCCTAACAATTTTAATGTAATTAAGTGTAATGCTACATTATCCTGTGTAATTGTAGTATTTTTTTTGTGTTTTTTAGTGCAATTCTACGTTTTTAGTGCAATTCCACATTTTTTAGTGCAATTCCGTGTTTTTTAGTGCAATTCCGCATTTTCTAGCATAATGTTACATAACACAAAATTTTCTAAAAAATATGATAATTGTGATACTTTTTAACGTAATGCTACATTGTTTAGTGTAATTGTAATATTTTTTAGTGCAATTTCACATAATTTAGTATAGTGCTACATTTTTCAGTATAATTTAATGTAATGTGGAATTTTCCAAAAATGTGATAATTGTGATACTTTTTAGTGGAATTTGGTGAAATGCTACATTTTTCAGTGTAATGCTATATTATCGAGTATTTTCCAAAAAAAAATGTAACATATTAACATTCTGATGAATATGAAACATTTGGCCAAAAAAACGTGAAATTTGCTAAAAAAATGCAACATTTGACAAAAAATATAGAATTTTCATAATAAATGTACCATTTACCAGAAAATCAGAATATTTGACAAAATTTGTTTTTAATTGACAATGTTATAACAATTTTATGAAATGTTGTTACAATGACGTCACAATGGAGATAAAATGTGACATTTTTATAAAAATGCACCATTTGCAAGAAAATTGGAACATTTGACAAAAAAAAAGCAAAATTTAATTTTAATTGATAATATTATAACAATTTTATGAAATGTTATTACATTTGAGGTAAAATGTGGAATTTTCATAAAAATGCACCATTTGCAAGAAAATTGGAACATTTGACAAAAAAAAAGCAAAATTTAATTTTAATNTAGATGTGTATAAGAGACAGTATTATAACAATGTTACAAAATGTTACAAAATGTTACATTTGAGATATAATGTAGCATTTTCCCAAATTTTCATAAAATTTGCTAAATCAGACAATGTTGTAACAATGCTATTCCAAAAAATTGCTCAGTACTATCTAGTATACTTTTTGAAAAATAAGGTTTTCACTTCCGATTATAAAAATAAGACAATTGAAATTTTTTTTTTTTTTTAAAAAAAAAGGATAAAATCGAAAAGGGAAATGAATTGTGTATTACTATAAATATATGGAATTGTTATATAGACTGTATGTAGATTTACCCCTAACTATTAACATAGTTAACAGGTGAATACTAGTTTATTTATAAAGAATATAAGGGTTTACCATGGAAGACATAAGAGTGGTTAACAATGGGTCAATATATATAATCCAGAGTAACAGAGAAATAACTGCTCCTTGGTCAATTCCAATATGGATATAATAACTAGGAGTGGGTCTTGTGTGGTAACAACCTGATTAGTTCTATTTATGAATAAGGTAAGCAAGATCTTGATAATGGCACCCAGTAATTTGAGACATTCAAGTGCAAATCTAAGCATAGTAAGATCTACAGAGTCAAATGCTTTGGATATGTGGGCATGCATTTATAAAAAGTTGACTGTATTACCAACCCAGTAATTGCAACCTTAACAGGTTTTGGTGAAAAAGTAAGCATCACGTTATAGATAAAACATGATGGACAATTGAGCAGAGTGGTTATCATTAAGTAATAGTTGGTGATAATATGTTACCATTAACATTTGTTTTAATATTAAAAATGTCACATTTGCAACTAAAATTATCATTATATTCTGTTATGATTTAAATTATACATCAAATGTTAGTAAGTTATTCTTATTTCCTAAAGTAGCTGCTTGGAAGTCGGAGTATTTGATAAAATCTTTTCTTTGGTTTACTCTCACCGAAGAGAATTTCATCTCTAGTATTAGTTAGAATCTCGGCAGTGTTTTCCCTGCTGCTAGAACGTCAACTTCTTGATATAGAACTCTCATTTTTTGATCCTTTTAAATCAAACATCAAAGGACACAGAGAAGATATTTCAGTAAAAACAAGTAATTCCGGTATTAAATCGTTAGAAAAAAATAGTATACCATAATTGGAATATTATTTGTTAAATCAATTAGATTAATAGCATTCAGTATAAGAGACTAAAATTTAAATAGTATAGTTCGATTAACAAGTGATCCGCTTTTAAAAATTAAGTAGGTGCATATGTAGTGTATCTGTGTGTAAAAAAAAGAGATTAAAGGTTACTTAATTTGGAATCCAAGGTTTTACAATTATCTCATGAGTTATGACTTGTCCTACAAAAGCCGTTAAAAATCAACAAAATATTTTTACTTTCTAGAAAACGTAAATTATCATACATGAACGACTATTTGGCTTTTCCAACTTCAATGACATTAAACTCTTTGCCTGATGAAGAACAACATAACCACTCGGAGTTGCTTCGTCATCTCACTTCAGAGTTTAGTAGGCCTTCTACAGGCTGGAATTTTTCCTATCTTAAAGGACGTATGGAAGAACAATTAAATTTATTGCCTTGGAACTATGAAGCGACCGTAAGAGCTTTGTTACCAAATTCTAAAGGTCTATTGGACATGGGTACAGGCAGTGGTGAGTTTCTTGCATCACTAAATCCGCTGCCACCAGATACTTGCGCGACAGAAGGTTGGGCTCCCAACATTGCTATCGCAAGACAACGGCTAAAACCTTTTGGAGTAACTGTTACAGGTACAGCTTCTCCATTTGAAAATTAACACTTTGAATGGTATAATCAATTAAACAAATTTTAATTTAGCTATTACTGATAATGACGTACGACTTCCTCTTAATGATTCTCGATTTGATCTTATAATTAACCGTCACGAACCTTATATTGTTTATGAAGTTCACCGTCTTCTTAAGCGAGGAGGTTTATTTGTTACACAACAAGTTGGTGAAAAAGATAATATTGAATTAAACAAACTTTTAGGAGCTCCTGAACATCTTGGATATAGAGAATGGCATGTAGAGCAAGCTTGTAGTGAATTAAAAACTGCAGGTTTTACTATCTTAGAAAAACAGGAAGCTTTTATAGAGACGAAATTTTATGATGTAGGGGCTATTGTTTATTATTTGAAAGCAATTCCATGGCAAGTTGAAGACTTTACAGTGGAAAAATATTCAAAACAACTTGTAAATCTCCATCATAAAATTCAAGAAGAAGGATTTCTTTCGGTTCAAAGTCATCGATTTTTTATTATGGCTCAAAAAGAGAAATAATTTTATTCTCAGGGTGGCATTCATTACATTTATATTTGTGCATGTAAAAACAGAGATAGAAAGGACTTTTGTGTTTTGTTATTCGCATACGTCTGGATTGAGAACGAAAAAAAAGTTATGATAACTAAGATAGCCAATCTCTTTCCATTATTTGAGAAAAAAAATTCACATTAACAAAAAGTATTTATACATAAGCAAACAAAATATCATATATAATTTTTTTTAGCCTTTTATTTATTTATTAGTATTTTTATTTGTAATATATTTTTTTTTAAATAAATTTAAAATTTTTTTTTGATTATCGTGTAAGCTCTTATTACAAATCATTAATCACATTTGTAAAGAAAAGAAGCTGACTCTTATTTGATGGTGAAACGCGATCAGGCAGAAATTATTATTAAGAATCAAGTTGACAAGCTTCCGATTTTGCGAATACTTTTATGAAAAAGGAAAGTTTTAAGCTATATACTAGATTATTTGTTTGGATGCGGGATATTCTACTTATGACTAGGAAAGTACTAGAGAATAATTGTTGTCTTGATCCTAATATAGTTAGTATTATGAAGAAATGATATATATTAATATATTAATAAAACAATTTTCCAAGGTGTTTATTGGGTAAGGAGGGTCAATTTATCACTGAGATCAGTGAGATGAAGCTCCAATAACAATATATAATTATCTTATCTTATTTAACCTAATGTTAAAATTTTATTTTTCTTTATATATTCTACAACTTTTGGATCACATAAATCTTCCCAATCACTTAGATTATGAATTAATTCTTTTCTTATCGTTGTGGAACTAATATTATTATTGTCCTCTCCATTGATAACCACTACAGATTCTTTCCAAGCATTTTCATCAAAAATACGATTTAGATCATTTTCAATATTTCTTATCCAACCATCATCTTCATTCCTACCAACAATAATAAAACCATGATGTCTCAATAGAGTATGAGAAATACCAGTTTTCATAAAATGGTCACTTCCACATAAATAGAAAACTTTGATGTTGCAATTAATTTCATCGTGTTCATTAAGAAATTTTGACAACCTATATAAAACTTCCCAATAATCAATAAATTTTAGACCACTTTTTTTTGATTTTGATTCCCACAAATCAACATCAATCCAATCTGATTCACTTACAGCTAATTTACACATTTCAATTCGTTTATCTATTGAAATAGCATATTTACCTAATTTACCAAAAACATAACAATCTTGTGAAGGTGATATGAATCCTGCTATAACTTTAACTTGTGATAATCGCGATTCTAATTCTCTTTTAGCTATCTCAAAATTATTATAATGTTGTTTATGAATAGGATTCATCGATCCAGTTGTTAATAATACTACAGGCGTTTTTGAAGGAGTTTCAGATTTTAATTGTGATAAATTTGTTAAAAGTTTTGTTGTTGGAGTTAAATGTGATTCTGAATTATTTGATAACATTTTGCAAACCCAGTTTTTTTTTTTTGGAATAATACGGAAGAACTGCTTGTGCAACTAAAACTGAAAAAAAAATAATTTATCTATTTAAAGCTGCTACCCGAATAATTCCGAAATGCCGAAACTATTCCGAAATTCCAGAAACTTCTGATTGGCTGTTATAATATCACGTGGTCAAACTAAAATTTTTATAACAATCACCACTATTAATTGTTAAAATTCTGTGTAACATTAATCGTATAATGTTTACGTCATGATTTTATCAACTTCTAACTTCAATTTTAGGTATTAAATTCATTTTTTTTGAACATTAACTAATTAAAATAGAAATTAAAATATTTGAGACTTTTTTCATTATTTTGGTCTTTTTTCTCAAGATCCTTTTTAATTTCAGGCTGTTAAATATCAACAATAGCCAAAATATATGTAAAAAGATGTGCCAGTTACGTTTATTTATCTTATAAAATTAGTTTACATGCTAGATTTTTTTTATATATGTAAAAACACTTTTTGTAATAGAAATGCACTTTTTCAATATTACAACCTGACTTTATTGCTTTAAAAAAAGATATTACCTATTTATACCTAATGNACTTTTTGTAATAGAAATGCACTTTTTCAATATTACAACCTGACTTTATTGCTTTAAAAAAAGATATTACCTATTTATACCTAATGGATATTCCATTCTTGTAATAGTTTACTTAAGACTTCATTAATTTCAGTTTCTGTGAGTATTGTTTCCTTTTGTAACAAGCAACTTAAGATTTGTTTTTTTTCTTCAGTTGTTATAATTCTTTGGCGTTTTAATTGAAGCTCATTTTGATTGTCTAATTCAATACTTGTTCATTTTAAATTACCTTTAACTGACTGAAGAACTTGTTTATTAGATTGAATGGGCAACACATCAGATGATTGATTTCCATTATTTTTTGGCATAGTATTCTTTTTTAGTTTTTTATTTTTTAATAAATCAGAAATTTTAGTTTTCATTACTGATAATGTTCTCTTTTTAGTATTAATTGCCTCAGTTTTTATTACTTTTTGACAAAAAAATTCTTTGATTCTCTTTAATCCATCTATATACTATGCTTGGCTTATTTTTATTAATCCTTCTTGATTCAATTGGGTGGAGAGTTTTTTTTTTGAAAAGATCATAATTAATAGGAATATTCATTTCGCAGATAAAACGCTAACCAATTAGGTATCTATCTGATTAGTAATTTTTTTTTGATTGGTTACCTGATTTATTCAATAGTTAGAAATTGGTATATATTTCAATCAGGTATTAATCAGGTTAATACTTGATTGATAACTATCATTTAGTTTAAATTTACCGATTGCTCTCTTTAAAACAAATTGTAATTGATTGTTAGTAATTTATAAATTTAAAACAAATTGTAATCCGATTGTTAGTAAATTATAAGTTTATTTATTAGATAACTTATTTTAAATGTAAATGAATTCTGTTTTATTACAAATAAAATTGTTTATTAATTGGTATAACTGCCATATATATAAGTAGTTGGATTTCATGTGCCAACTGTCACTAGTCGAAAAAGGAATATTCATTCTTAGTAAAATTTGGTCTATATTTAACTAAAATCAAAAATTTGACCTCAATTAGCAATGATCTATGATTAGACATTGGTCGAATAACTAACATGCTGGTTGAATGGTCATGTTATGTATTACGCATATCAAAAGTTTAAAAAAGAATCATGCATTCTTTTTTAAACTTTTATTCCATCTTTTCCTCGTCCTTTATTAGCTCTAAAGGTGTGAAAAAAAAAAATTTTTATTATTATTATTTTTTTTTTAAAAATTTTATGTGAGACTTCATCTTTTCCTTCCCAGAATGCCAGTCAAAACTATGCACTGGAAATAATAAGGTAAATGGAAGGGGAAGTCAGTTTTTTTATTTTATTTTAATATTATGAACGGTTTACTAACTGTTCATATTTTCCATATAGGTTTCGCAGGAAAATGAATGCACTAGTCGAAAAAGGACAATTCGGCCTAAATTTGACCAGGTCGAATATAGGTCGAATAATGGTCTAACCTGTGTCAAATTGAGGTCAAATTTTCGGGCGCATTTAGGGTGCCAATCGTCCCAAATTCGGACTAATTATTCGACCATTATTTAGGTTTAAATTGACCAATATTTGACCTTAAAACTTTAAGCCGAATTATGGTCTAATAACAACCCATTTATTTATGAATTTATTTTGATTTTTTTTATCAAATTTATTAAATAAATGTATTTATTAATGCTTAAATACTTTATAATTATATTATTATTATTGCATCTATCTAATTTACAAAAAATATTGCTAATTCAAATACAATTCCACAATTACATGATTCATGTATTCGTATATACGAATCTTTGATTGTTCTTTAGCAATCCACCCGAACCTATAAAAAAAAGAGAAGAACGGTTAGTAACC